GATCCATCTTCACCGTCTACAAATCCAGTTGGACAATAAGTCGAAGATTCACTTGTTTGAAGGAAATTATGAAGAGCAATCGCTACTTTGGTAAACACTTCTGCTCTGTTTGGATGGGCATTAATTGGATTCCTAAATATCCGCCATCTTGCAGCCAAGATTCCAAAAGTGTTCTCAATTATTCTTCGGGCTCTACTGAGCCTATAATTAAAAATAGCCTGGTCTTCTACATGAAAGAAATAAAATGCATGTAAAATAATATTGTACACTGTTAAAACTGAGGTGTTGACATACACTCGCGGGTGTCACAAATTTGGGTGTTGTTTACTATTGGGGTGTTGAATCAATCTAGCTTGGTGTTGTTCTATTGAAAGAGGGGTGTTACTACAACACTACAACTTGTGTCAAAGTTAAAGGATAGCCATGACACCCTTACAGGTGTTGCAATAACACTGTATTTAATACAGTGTAGTTTTTAATTACACAAAATTATATTAAAACAAATTAATACGAGTATAAGTTTTTTCATTAAAATTGTTACTATTTCTAGATACAAAGTACTTTACCTGGTAAATAACGTCCAGGAAAAGGGCGTAAAAGGTATGACTTTAACGGGAATGCTTCATCTCCTACAATGACATATGGGAGAGGATGCCTACTGGTATCGTTTGGTAGTGGAGATGGATCTGGGAGAAACAGTGAATTTGCCTCTAATGCCTGACCAAAGGAACAGTTAGAAAAAATTCCTCCATCGCTTTAGCGGCCAGCTTCTCCAATGTCAACAAGCACAAATCTTAAATGAAAAGAAGCAAAATAAAGCAATGCAGCCTTAAAGAGATAAAATTACTTCTCACCTGTATCGGGCATCACAAACAGCTAAGAGGACAATAGAATGTGTCCCCTTATAATTATAATATTCCGAACCAGCATTGGGTGGGGCCTGTATGACAACATGCTTCCCGTCAATGGCACCTATTTAGAAACAGCTTTACATTAAATTAAACAAATGAACCTACCAATACAATGAGGAAAATTCCATAGTTGTTCGAACTCTTTGCTAATTTTCAACCAGTCTTCCTTAGATGTTGGTGCTGTTACATACATTGGTTGCAGTGCTGACCAAATTGCTTCACATGTCTCGTACACTATATTGCAAACACTGGCAGAACTAATTGTGAAGCTGAATGACAGTGAAGCCTATGGTAAAACGTACATAGTAAGCTATGTTAACAAACAATGTCTACTATACTGACCTGTGATACACCTGCAGCTAAAAATCTGAGAGTGAGGGTTAATTTTTCTGCTGGACTGATGTTGGGTCGTATTGAACTTGTATAGTGTCTCCTCTTCAAAGATGGTGCAACCTCAACAATTTCATAGCATAATCAATAATAACAATAGATAATCATGATTTCTTACTTGTGATAGTAGAAAATCGAACTTTTCTCGGGACATTCTTAAATACCTGAAGTGGCTATCTGTGTCGGATAGCCTCATCTCTTGCAGCAAGTTGTTATACTCACCCTGCTCCACCCTTCTTCTGAATATGTGACCCGATATGAGAAAACCAGGCTATCTGCGGGAATTATCATTTTGAGCTATGGGCTCATAATCACGAAAAATCTTTACCTGGGCGAAATTCATTTTATCACATAAACATGTTATATAAACAAAATCCTTTCATTTGATACCAAAATCAGGGGTTGCGAAGCCTTCTTTGCCAAGTTATAAGCCCTTCGACATTTTACCTTGATTGTGCACGGAGGATGTTACACGGAGCGACCACGGAATAAAAACGGAGGGCTTTAATGCGTCATTAGGTAACCATGGAGTCTCTATAGCAACTATTTAAAGTATAACAAAGACGAAGAAGACTACTTATAAAAACTATGGCTACAGAAAGAGACATTGCTCGCTTGTTAAATGAAGAAATAGGTCCTCGAGACAGTGACTACGTTGCTTCAGTTCTTGGGGACTACTTTTGTGATGAAACTAGTGGTAAGCTTATTCATAACACTGTTTACATACTAACTGTGAATAGCGGTTAGCTATCACAACAATGACATTGCATCACCTGTATAAATGCACAATATTATTATAATAAACTTAGTTATACCGTGTATTTGTTAATTTATACAGACAGACTATGAAGCAGTAGAAGATATGGAAGAAGAAGAGGTAGATGAAGAGAAAGAAGAAGAGAAAGAGACAAACGATTGTGATGAAGATATTAATCCACCACTGTTTGATCCTGAGGTGGCTGTGGAGCTACAAGTATCAGATCTTGATTTAGAATCAGCGATGCCTGATGCTCCAGCTACTTCAACTACTCACTCTGGTGATGACATGAGGAAGGAAGACCTACAGGAGGAAGAAGAATTATCAAAGTTCTTTGAACATGGATGTGGTTGCTCAGATAATTGCTATGCACTGTTCAGTCACTCTTACATAAAAACATATAGATGTGACATACAAGCCATGGCAAAGCCTGTTCAAGAAATTGCTATTATGAGTCAAATGGCAGCAACATCTACCATGGGGGGATTGTCGACTGGCAACCATAGGAGACAGAATGAGAGAAAGAGGCAATTTTTTACGTTCATGCATCAAGGTCATAAGGTTTGTAACTATGAGTGACACAACACAAAATTAATCGTTTTTCAACTAGATATGTAGAGTAACATTTCTGAAGCTACATGCATGTGGCAAAAGCAGGTTTGAGGAAATCATGAAAAACTACAGAATGAATGGATTAATACCAAGGTATGAGACTTACAAATTCAATGTTATGTACTTAACTTTATTAGAGTTCACGGAAATGCTGGAAAGACACCAAACCATGCTTTGACTTATAATGATATTCTCCGGGTTGTTGCTTTCATCAGAAATTACACTGAAGTCCATGGAATCAGAAGAATACCTGGAATGAAAAGTTACGAGAATAAGAAGTTCTTACCATGCAGTACATCTAAAATGCAGGTATACTTAGAGTATGCGGAATCATGTGAAGGGCTTCATGTCAAAGCATGTGCTGAAACAACATTCAACATGTTGTGGCGACGCTACCTGCCTTATATTGAAAAAATGAAGCCTATGTCTGACTTGTGTGCCACTTGTAAAGAGATAAGTGGACTGATTATAAGAAGTGGTAACATGCAATCAGATGAAAGGATAACTGAGGTAAGTCAGTATTGTAATAACACAAGTATTATTTAGAATTTTCAGGCAATGCAAAAGGCACTAGATCACAGAAGTCTTGTTAAAAAGTAAAGGGAGTACTATAAGGATGTATTAAAAGAGGCACAATTATTGTTAAAAGGGCTGTATACTGATGCAGCAAACAATTACAATCCCCCACTAACAAGGCCACTTGCTATGTTAAATATTGTAGCACATTATAGCTTCGATTAAGCTCAACAGGTAACATTTTATGATAATTATGAAAGTGTATCTAGCTCACTTACTTTTTTAAAGGTTCACTATCCTTCAAGTCCACTACAAGCAGGTCCAATTTATTTTCTTACTCCCAGGAAATGTGGCATATTTGGTGTGTGCTGTGAAGCTATCCCTCAGCAGGTTAATTTCTTGATCGATGAATCATTCGACACTGGTAAAGGGGCAAATCCTGTCATAAGCATGGTACATTTTTATTTGAAGAATCATGGCCTCAACTCAGTCAGTATCCATTTCAATGCTGACAACTGCACAGGGCAAAATAAAAATAATACAGTTATTCAAGTAAGTATATTACATGCAGAATAATGAACATTTTAAATGTAATTTTTATTTATTTTAGTACCTCTTATGGAGAGTCATGACAGGACTCAATGCGTCCATTTCAATATCTTTTCTGCTAGTTGGACACACAAAATTTTCTCCTGACTGGTGCTTCGGACTATTAAAGCAAAAATTCCGTAAAGCAGAGGTGGACTCATTGGATGACTTCATTCAAGTTGTAGAACAATCATCTGCTGTGAACAAAACCCAACCAGTAGGAAGTGGCAATGGTGAACTCATTGTAGAAACACTTGACTGGTGTAGTTACTTTGCTACATTATTCAAGAAAATAAAAGGCATCAAAGGCTTTCAACACTTTGTTGTAAATGCGACCTCACCTGGTGTAGTTGCAGCCAGACAATCTGTAGATGGCCCAGTCACACAATTCAATTTGCTGAAGGAGGACGCTCAAATAATGGAAGATGAACTACCTAATATATTACCACCAAAGGGTATGTCAACTGAAAGGAAATGGTACCTTTACGAAAAGATAAGACCGTTTTGCAGATACGAATGTAAAGATGTAACCTGCCCACTTCCTGATGCACCTCGACTAACAGGATCATCTCGACAATCAACTCCAGGTGTAGATGATCCACCAGACCTCGCAATGGAGATTGAAGTACCACATTCTCCAAGGCAATCTCTAGAACCACCTGCAACACAAAGAAAATGTGGTAATTGTGGTCAATTTGGTCATAATAGAAGAACTTGTCCATGTAATCAGTAAATGAATAACAGAAATGAATTTGTGTAATGCACATACTATTGATCCCCTTTCAACAGGAGAGGAACTAGTTTGTCTACAACAAACAGACTATTGATCCCCTGAAACAGGAGTGGAACTAGTTTGAATGCCAAATATTCAAACTATTGATCCCCTAAAGGAGAGGACTCGTTTGAACGCTAAGACATACAAACTATGGATCCCCTTTTTTAAA